ATAGTAAAATAATGGTTTTATAATGGGTTTGACGTACCAACAGTACCTTCATGTTTATTGTACCCTATTATGTGTAACAACATCATATTATTAGATTAAGATTGAGATTATTCATACTTTTATATTTGGTTGCCCGCTCGAAGATCATTGTTTACTTCAGTAGTCCTCCGAGGAAAAAAGGTGTGCTATATATAATATTATATAGTCAACATATTTTATACTTCATAGTATGAAAATGTGTTGGCCGTGATAGGTAGCCTAAAAGTGTATTACTATTATTCTTATATTTTAGGTTTGAAATTGTAAATTTAATAATTAATTATTAAATACCCCAAAACCGGCACAACCAACGTTTATGAGTTTGTATAGGTGTCTTAAAAGAGAGGCTGAAAATTCGGAGCTTTTATATGAAAGAAGCTACTTAAATATGGAAGGTAAAAGAAGAAAAAAATATAAATACAATCAGATGAAAGAATAAAAAAACATTATCAGAGTATGAATTAGATAATGATTTAGGAAAATGATGAAAAAAAGTATGTATAGTTAAAAATTAGAATAAAGTCATGTTTATTATGCACTGTGAATTGTGGTTGACAAATATATTATTAATATCGGAATTGTTTGTAACAATTAATAATAATAATAAGCTTTAAAAGCTTATTAAACACACGTAAAAATACTGGCAGTTCTAAGCCTAGAAAAGTGTGTGGAGAAGTTGAAATATAACTAAATATATGTTACCGGAAATGTTGACAATTTAGGAAATGATGACAATTCCTAGTAAATGTTGACAATTCCTAAAAGCGGAAGGCAATGTTATCATTGCCTAGGAATTGTCATCATTTCCGTAGTTTATTAGGCAATGTTATCACTAGGCCCAGGAATTTGATGTTCTAAAAAAATATCTAAAAAAAATGCATAAAATGACATTTATTTATTATTTTTTTTTTAAATGATATTAAAAATGTATATTTTATTGTAAAAATTGATTAATATTGTTTCGATAAAAAATTATTATTATTAATTAATTAAATAAAACTATATATTACCTATATACCTACTCCAATTATTTTTTTTTTATATTAGATTAGGTTAGGTTTTTATAGTTAAAAATGTACGTTAAAAATTAATGGAAATGACAACAAAGATAAAATAAGCTTATAAAATTATTTTATATATCTGTGCGGAGACATGAAATTATATCAAACACGGGTTTATGTCGATTCTGATAGCCGTTAATAATCAACAAGCTTTCTTACACATAAGCATTGACTAACTCGTAATGGCACCCACTAAGTTTGGTGTCAACTGTCAATATTTTCCGAGATCTAAAAATATCAGGTGGGGAAATGACTGATATCGATAAAATGGTTGATTGAAAAATGTCATGGATATCGCATATCGCAGTATTTATCTGTTTAATATATAACCTGTACATTCAACACGATCCGTTTAGTAGTAATTTATTAGTAGTGCAGTACGTATTTACTTTGTTATTAATTTAAAAATGGATTTAAATAAAATGCAAAATGAATTTAATAAAGCAATTTCATTAATAATTGATGCTAAACGTGATGACAACAAATCGTTCATGAATAATGAAGAATACGATCGTCGCATAGAAGACGTAAAATTATCCAAGACTCAAACAAAATGCAAAAAAGATTATAGAAATATTCGTAAGTACGACGTTATTTTAATAAATGATAAAGAACGCTTAATTAAAGCCATGAACCATGATAATGACAGTATACGTTATTTCGTTAAAAATGAAGAGCTATTCAATATTCTTCACTCTACGCATATAGCTATCGGCCACGGTGGCCGCGATCGTATGATGGCTGAAATAAAGTTAAAATATTGTAATATAACAAAAGAAACAATAATGATTTTTTTGAGTCTTTGTACCGACTGTCATAAAAAATCATCTAATCCAAAAAGAGGTCTTGTTTCTAAACCAATTTTGCATTCAGCATACAACTCGCGTGCACAAATAGATCTAATTGATATGCAATCGCAGAGTATAAACAATTACAGATTTATAATGAATTATCAGGATCACTTGACAAAATTTGTTATACTTAAACCACTAAAGACTAAACGAGCAGAAGAAATAGCATATAACTTAATGGAAATTTATACAACTTTTGGAGCGCCAGCAATTCTACATTCCGATAATGGAAGAGAGTTTGTTAATAGTGTAATTAATGAATTACATACTATGTGGGGCGATGTTAAAATAGTGCACGGAAAACCAAGACATAGTCAGAGTCAGGGGTCTATAGAACGTGCGAACCGGGACGTGGAAGATATGT